GATATTTTTGGTATGCTGCAATGATTTTGCAGTGATTGTTCAGCTAAATACTTTTATGATTCTGATATGGTCATAGATGCAAAGATGTTCTCATGTCTGGATTGTTTGAATGTATAAATCAGTGCTGCAGGGTGAACAAAATGTAGTAGGTCTTTGCAGACTTTGCTTTGTAGCTTTTTTTGTTTCATGTGATTGTTTGAAAGTCGCAGTGATTATTCACAAAACAGAATAGCTTATGAAATGATGACTAAGACAGTAATTTAGCCACACTAATAACTAAAACACATCCATCATCAAATATGTTTCTAAAATATTTGATGTAGCTCTGTTAGTGCTGTCCAACCATTTTAAAAACTTGTATGTAAATTAGCATCTGCTTTATTCACTGCAGCACATTTCCCATGAGCTTCTCTTTGTTTTACATCCCAGGTTTGTAAGTTTTTTTCTTCCATTATCTGTGTTTTGATTGTATGGGTATGTTGTACATTTGATTTAAAAGTATTATGAGTTGACTCTCATATTGTAACCAGAAGACCAAAGAGGAAGTAAACATGAGAGTGCAACAGAGCCTGGGGAAGGAGCAAAATAAATTGATACATGTTTGCTAATGTAGGACAAATCCAGACTCTTAGAGGGAAGTGGGTTTAGATTGTGCTGTGTAGGACTGAATGCTTCTTAAATGAATGGATGTGGCAATGGGTTTTTGCCCTGTGTTCATAAAGTGTTGTCAAAACATGTTAGGCATGTTAAATCTGTTTTTCCAGCTTTCATTCATTCAGTCAGCTTTCATTGTTTTTCTCTGCGATTAAGCCAGTACTTGCTTGGCAACATGCACTTGTGCACAACTAGATACGTTTCTTAAGCTCATGCAATATTGTGTAACAGACCTAGGAGATAATTAAATGAATGACAATAATGGGTGTACAAACACACACCTTGTGTGTACAGTGCGTTCTTTAAACTGTTTCTCTACTTAATAAGGAGGGCTGTGTGACCACAACAACTTATGCAATAGCTACTCCTAGGACTTAAATACAGTGCACGCTTCTGTCTATACTGTGGTAGTGTCTCTTCCTTCTTGTCTGTCTTTCTTTCTAGAAAATATAAATGTGTGAATCTTGTATCTCTCAAATCCTCTGAGGAAAGCAAAACGCCAAAATCTAAATGTGTGCCAGCTGCAGGGCATATTTAAAAGACCAACGCTAACACACACTGAAACCACACGAGCATGCTTAGGAATACTATCTCTGTCCTCCCATCGTGTCTAATCCCCTCTGATCTGTGAATCAACCCCACGTGAATTAGAGCTTGGGTGAAAGGCCTTCTCCACTGTCGCGGATTACCGTCTCATCTGCTGTGTTTACCTTCGACGGGAGGCGCAGCAGGGTCGACTGTGAACACCTGATTCAGATTTGGATGATGAACAATGTTCTCACCTGCAACAAACCAAACCAAACACGAGGATTATTATTATTATTATTATTATTATTATTATTATTATTATTATTATTATTATTG